TCCGTAATGCTAAGCGCAGGTATGCGGCTCGACATGGAAAGCGAGCAGATAAAGGGAAAGAAAAGAAGGAATCATCACCCAAAAGGAAGACCTCGAGCGACCAACTACAGGAGCACTGGCAGATCGAGAAGCCTATCAAGAAGGCCAGGTGCTTTCGGTGTCAATTCTGCAGACGGATCAACATTGATCCCGAAGTAGGAGAGGTCGAGGAAGAGGCTCCTGAGATAGTCTTTGGGACGTTCGCTCCAGGCGAAACGAGAGCTTTGCGCAGTAAGATAGTGAAGATTGATAAAGCCGGGTTTGAAGTCAGGATGACGGGTATGCGATGGTTCGAGGAAGAAGAAGAACCAGAATGGGCGGCCATGGCTGGCAGTCCCCCACCTATGATTTTTCCGCCTATACCAGAAGGAGCAATCCCACACTTGAAACCATTGTATGTTAACGCTCACATTTGTGGTAAGCCGATTAACAAGGTTTTCATTGATAATGGGGCCGTCTTCAACGTCATGCCTCTTAAAACTCTGAGAAAATTGGGCAAAGGGATTGGTGATCTGTCTCCAGTAGACATCGAGATGACAAGCTTCACGGGATAAACAACCAAACCAGAAGGGATGATGGTGGCACCCATTGAAGTCGGACCAAAGATGATTTCAACAGTATTCTTTGTAGTAGATGCCAACACTACTTATTCAGTCTTGTTGGGGCGAGACTGGATTCACGCTTCCAAATGCGTGCCTTCTTCTCTCCATCAACAGATCATGTTTTGGGAAGGAGATCAGGTATTCACCATGGAGGCCAGCACCAATCCGTTCGGCTCCACAGAAGGTATGGAAGAGTCAGTGCTTTATTCAGAGTACATACCTCCGATTTCACGGACAGCTGTGGTAGACGAATATCCCTGGAAGGGCTGTAGGCTCACTGGGCAGAGTTATGTGTTTCATTAGAAACATTCTTCTGTTTTATGGCTCTGTCGTTAGCCAAAAAACTTTTTCATTTATTTAAGTTTAATTATGGAAGAAATAAGTAAATGTGACAAGCTGATTAGGCAGTTTTATTTAAACCAATTAACGGTTAGGTTACATAACAGGGAAGGTTCCAACAATAATGTTGGCGAGGGAGAAGGTTTTCGCTGGCCTGATCTTTTGGAAAAGACAGAACCTTCCTTGTCTACTCAGGATCCGCTCATTGAATACAATGTAGGAACTGAACAGATACCCAAGATGGTCAGGGTAAGTGGTTTGTTGTCTGAAAACCAGCAGGAGCAAATGGTAACGCTAATTCGGGATCACATGGAGTGTCTGGCATGGGATTACTCTGAGATGCCCGGATTGGCACGCGATTTGATAGAACATAGGTTGCCTATTAAGAAAGGATTTAGACCGTATAAGCAACCACCAAGGAGAGTTAGTCCATAATTGCTGCCCCAGATCAAAGAAGAGATTGAGAAACTGTTGAAAGTGGGATTCATTCGACCTTGTCGGTATGCAGAATGGTTAGCCAATATTGTTCCGGTAACCAAAAAGAATGGAAAGATTTGGATATGCATTGATTTCAGAGATCTCAATCTAGCTACCCCGAAAGATGAGTATGTTGATCGACTCGGCAGCAGGGCATCGAATTTTAAGCTTGATGGACGGGTATGCAGGGTATAATCAAATTTCATTAACGGAAGAAGATATACCCAAAATCGCGTTCAGATGCCCAGGAGATTTGGGAATCTACGAATGGACGGTTATGCCATTTGGTTTAAAGAATGATGGAGCAACATATCAACGGGCAATGAATACGATCTTTCATGATCTGATCGGGCAGTCAATGGAGGTATACATCGATGATGTAATCATTAAGTCTATTGACTTTGACACACATCTGGTTGATTTAAAAAGTGTTTTTCTACGGATGAAGCAATACAACCTGAAAATGAACCCAGCGAAATGTGCCTTTGGAGTTTCGGCAGGGAATTTCCTAGGGTTTTTAGTGCATGAAAAGGGGATAGAAGTCGATGCAAACAAAGCCAAGGCTATTTTGACAATGCGGCCACCTCGGTCGGTTAAAGAAGTGCAAAGTTTGTTGGGGAAGGTAAATTACCTAAGGCGTTTTATATCAAACGCTGCAGGGAAGTTTAAACCTATTACAAAGTTGCTACAGAATAAGGCAGCCAATTTCTCTTGGGGTCCGGATCAGCAGAAGGCGTTAGAATAAATCAAGCAGGCATTAACCAGACCACTTGTGTTGGTTCCCCCAAGGGGAGATCGACCCCTTCGGCTGTATGTTGCGAACAACTTTGATGTTGTGAGTAGTCTGTTAGCGCAAGAATGAGAGGATGGTAAGGAAAGGGCTATTTATTATTTAAGCAAAACTTTGGCAGGACCAGAGTTGAATTATACTATGCCCAAGAAAATGTGCTATTCTTTAGTTTTTGCATGTACTCGGTTGGAGCATTATATTCTGCCAAGAGAAACCGAGGTAGTTTCTAAAATGGATCTGATCAGATTAATTCTGCATAGATCAACCATGCAGGGAAGATTAATGAAATGGGCCATTAAATTGGCTCCTTTCGTGCTGCAACATCAACTTATCAAAGTGGTGAAAGGGCAGGTTGTAGCAGATTTGTTGGCCGAATTTGCAGACGACGAACCAGTGAAAAACAAAGTGGTGCCGTATATAGGCACTAGTGCTTGGAAAATATTTTTTTATGGTTCTCGTTCAAAAGGAAAGTCAGGGGCAAGAGTGATATTAGAAGGACCAAGAGCCAGGAAAATTAGTTTGCAGCTTCAAATGGAAGAGATGACTCATAACTCGGCGGAATACGAAGCACTAATTTTGGGTTTGGAAGCACTTATCGCTAACGGAGTACAATCGGTTCTAGTTTATGGAGATTCTCAACTGGTCATCAATCAAGTGTTAAAACGGTACGCTTGTAATTATCCTCATTTGCGTCAATACCGAGATTTGGTATGTCATATGTTATACAGAATTGCGGAGGTAGTTTTCGAGCATGTACCAAGAACAGAAAATCGGTTGGCGGATAATCTGGCTCAGAGTGCCTGCAAGCAAATGATCGGTAGCATTGATTCTGGGACTGATTGGAGAACAGAAATCATGGTGTATTTGGAATCACCAAGTTTTATGACTCCTGTGGGCATTCGATTGAAAGCCTTACGTTTTCAGCTTATTGAAGGGGTTCTGTATAAAAGAACCTTTGAAGGAGTTTCATTGAGGTGTTTGGGACCAGAAAAGTCTACCAAAATAATGGAAGAAGTTCATGGTAGAATTTGTGAAGCACACCGAGCAGGTCTGAATATGCGATGGGCTATTCATCGTATGAGATTTTATTGGCCAAAGACTTTTGATGATTGTATCAGATTTGCTAAAGGGTGTCAGGAATGTCAGAGGCATGGTCCACTAAATCATCTGCCAACAGTAGAATTGCAGACGATGGTTAAGCCGTGGCCATTCAAAGCTTGGGCGTTGGATGTAATAGGGAAAATTCATCCGACGTCATCGAAGCAACATTCATTCATTTTGGTAGCGACTGATTACTTCACCCAATGGGTAGAGGCAGTTCCTTTGAAGAATGCGATGCAGAAAGAGGCGAACGGGCTGGCCGAAACAGCAAATAAAATTGTTATCGGCATCATCCGAAAAATGGTAGAAGAAAATCCAAGAAAATGGCATACATTGTTGTCTCAGGCATTGTGGGCCCACCGAAATAGTATAAATACTTCTACTGGATTTTCCCCATACCAATAACGTTCGGGCAAGATGCTGTTTTGCCTGCTGAATTTGTTGTGCCTTCGCCCAGAGTGATCAATACAACAGCGTGTATTGACGAGGCATATGCACAAAGGATGTGGCAACAATTGGAAGAAGTGGATACAGATCGATTAAACGCTTTGGATCAAGTGGTTTGACAGAGTGAGATTAGGGCGAAATACTATGGGAAGAGAGTGTTCCCAAAGGTTTTTGCAGAAGGGGATTTGGTCTGGAAAACAATTCTGCCTAGTATAAGAAGGTGGATCAATTATTGAAGTGGTCTCCCAATTGGGAAGGTCCTTTCATCATTCATAAAGTGATTGGGAATAGAGCTTTTATTATTGTAAATCAAGAAGGAAAATTGGTACATGAGAATATTAATGCTAAGTATCTGAAAAGGTATTACCCTGCCTTTTCAGAAAATTGTCATTAGTTCTTATTATAAAATTTAGGAACCCCTCAAAGGGTTCTCTAATCATCAGAAGGATAGTTGTCTTCTGGTTCAGAGGTTTCATCCCAGCTCGCAGAAACCATCTCAGGTTCTTCATCCAACAGGTCATCCAAATCAAGACGGTAGCGATCCCACTGATCCTGCATTTCTTGAAGATCTTGTTCGGTGCGGACCTTCATATCTTGCAGAGATTGATTCTCTTGTTCAACAAGGACGCGCAGTCTGGAGAGCGTTGATCTTTGCTGATGAAAAATGTTGTTCCAGCTGAGGTCTGGAAGGATTGCCGATACATGATGGTCTATCATGTCCAGATGATGATCAAGATCAGATATATGAGTGAGTATGTCGGTAAGGGGTTCATAGCCAGTGGATATACGCTCCATTAGTCGGATCGTACGATGTGTGGTTCTCCCGCCTCTGCCGGAGAACCTAAATTTAAAGTCCAGTTTTTTTAGCACTTGTATCAGGTCTTCGGCATGATGACCTATGGGGTGTTTTCCTACAAGGAATGGTTGCAAAGAACCTTGCCAGTTCGACGAAGGGATGCAAATGCAAGGTGAAACCATTTTGAGTGATGATATGGGGGGTGCTGATGATGTTCACAGTAAGAGGTATGGAGCTTATATAGGTGTTGTGATGTTTAATTTTTGGTTTATTAAATGTGTAGAAAATATGGATTCGTGTTTTAATGTCTGACTTAGTAAAAACGCAAAGAACATAGGATCTGTGTTATGAAAATAGAATATATAGATTAAGTCTGAAAATTCTATACAAATTATGTCAGGGCCACAGAGAAAGCAGGGCCTTAAGGGCAGTTTGGAGATCGGTCCACTTTAGCTCCGATTTTGTGGCACGCCGACGCTGATAAGCTTCCTGGTGTCTCCGGACGAGTCTCATTTATATGGTTGTTTGAAGTTGCTTGCAGAGACTCGTCTGAGTATAGCACTGTGCCTCCACCAGACGACTCCCTTCCTGAATTCTGTCATCCAGGGACTTCAGCTATTCTTGTAGGCGTTTGAGTTCTTCCGTTAACTGGGAGATCTCAGCCGCTAATGTGTGTCTCGCTTGTCGGAGTTCGTCCAACGTAGTCTTGGCAAGATTAAGGTCTTGATCGACCTTTTTCAATGTTGCCTCAAGACTGGCTGGATCAGCAGTTAGTTGAGATGACGTGGCCTCGGATGATGGGGGCCGGATCAGAGGCAGTTCAGCTTAAAGTTCGGTGATCCTGGCCATCATCCGATCAAGGACGGGGGAAGCTTCTGATTCCAGTGTGGGTTATACCAACAAGGCTATTGCGACCTAGACTAGAGCTTTGAGGTCGGCTAAACTCAGGTCGTGCAAAAGACAGGTCGGCACAGCGTTCTACGATCGATCTGAGGGGAGTCAGAAGGTTCACTCGGGCCAAAATGTTCATCTCTTGAGCAGCCTGAGACAAAAGGACAATGTTAAGTCAGAAAGATATGGTGAACTCATTACAATATAATGATAAAGTTTACCTGATTTAAGGCGGCCGTGGCTTCAGAAGGGGCCATGAGTCGGAACGTCGTGGAGGCACCATGGTGAGTTGTCGGGCCAGTAACCGACTCATCTCCCGGTTGAAGACGGTGAGCGACGGCCAGCTCTATCCCCTGAACGAATAAAGTTAAGCAAGGAAGAATGAGAGAAAGCTAGAAAATAGATGAGAGGGAATATTAACCGAACCCCTTGGGGCAAAATTGACTGAAGCCTCGCCCGACTTCGAGGAGGAAATCTCCTATATGTCGTGAGGCGGTGGGATCGGTTGGACTGGTTGAGGAGCAATAGGAAGAACCTCACCAACAGGCTGAGCGGCTGGTTGTAAGGGTAGCGCGGCAGCAGCTTGGTCGGGTGGTGCCACGACTGGGTCGGGCAATTCTGCGACCTGGTCGGGTTCGAGCACCACCGCAATTGCATCAGGTTCCTAGTTGGAATATCATACAAGAGTTAGAGGTTTATAAAAAATCATATGGAAAGATCATGGAAGTTACCTGTGATGGTTCCGCAACCTGGTCGGGGAAGGTGACGGATTGGTCAGGCATCGCTGCAACCACATCAGTCATTTGTAGTGGTGGAAGAGCAGGTGGAGGAGAAATTGTAGGAGAAATTTGCCTCCCCGCCGATTCCTCCGGTCGGTGTACCTACAGTAAAAGAATTGAAGTTAATGGCTGAAGTAAGTATTCTCTTTTTTTTCTTAGGAGCATTAGGAAATACTTACCTCAGCTTGCAGGGGGGTCGGTTGTGTGATGATCGGTTGACCAGCGATCGAGAGGTTTTCTGGAGGACCGACCGGTTGAGCAGGTCTTTGTTCAGTTGGGGTCGTTGGTGCAGCTGACGGTTGATTGGCAGTCGGGTCCTCTCCCCGACGGGTCATTGGTAGTACTACGGATGGGGGTGCAGTCGGTTGGTTGGTGGTTGGGACCGCGGTCGGTTGGTTTGTGGTCGGGACCGCGGTCAGTTGGTTTGTGTTCGGGACCGCGGTCGGTTGGTTTGTGGTCGGGACCATAGTTGGTTGGTTGGTGGCCGGCACTATAGCCGTTTGGTGTGTGGTCGGGACTGCAGTTGACTGGGAAGAAGTCAGATGGATGGGTGAGTGCGCCGCAGTCGATTGAGCCATGGTCGGCTGAGTCTCAGTCGGTTGAGAGACAATTGGGGTTGTGGTCGGCGGCAATTGAGGGTCCTCTGGAATAAAAGCTGTTAAAGTTAAGAAAAGCTTGCAAGGAAAATGAAATATGGAAGGAAAAAGACTTACCAAATTGTTTCTTCAAGTATTTTGGCATCCCGCTTGTATCCACTAGTAGAGATGCTAAGTATTCCTCAATGACCCGCCTATCAATGGCAGGGGCGGCCTTCTACTTATGTTTCTTTGCTCCGGATCCGCCTATGGTAGGCGCCTGCCTTTTTCTTCTCGGGGCAGCGGCTAATCGAGGAGAACCCAGTGCCAAGACTGGGGGTGGGGCAAGTTTCCCAACCAATTGGTCGGTCGGGGGAGCAATCAAAGACCAGGTAGCCGACCACCAGGCAGGAAACGCTTCGGTCGCCAAAGGTTTTAAGCAGAAAGGCAAGTACGAGTTAGAGGTGATATAGTCGGTGAGTTGGGAAAGGTAGGTCGGGATAAGCTCGGGAATCACCAGCCCTTCTGGGCTTTGAGGTATAAGGTGAGGTTGGGCTAGTGGTCCCGGCAAGCCCTGACAGCAACCGAACTGTCGGGCCAAAAATTGGGGCTGATAATTAAAAGTATAAAATAATATGTGGTTTTTCTTGTCCGACCTCTTACTAGAAAATAGAGATCGGGGTTTCATGGCGGAGTCCCAAGAGAAGGGATAGGTCGGATGAGGAAGAGGATCGGGATAAGTTTGGGAATAAGATGTGTCGGGATGAAGCCAAAAAAGATCGGTCGAATATTGTATAAGGGTTTCGTAGACATAGAAGCGGGAATTGCTACGGTCCTCAGTCAGGATTTGGGCGATGACATGATCGGACGGATAGAGATAAGAGGAATTAGGAGTTAATCTGGCCAAGGCATAACCTATAGACCTGTAAGGATTCGGGGTGATAGGAAGTCGGCCAAAAAAGGCGTTTGGGAAGTAAAGACGGAGCCACAATTTCATGAACCAGAATGGTCCCGAAGCTGCTGTGTCCGCCTTCTTAGTATCAGTCAGGCGGGTGCTTACTCGGGTTAACCCCTCAAAGTGGTTAGCCAAAAAGAGGGTTCCCAATGAGAAAAATTGGCTGTTGGCTAGTTGAATGGCCAGATCGACTTGGGTAGAAAGGACGAGTTTAAAGGGGGAAAAAATGATGTATCTGTAAAGAAAGAAGATATTCAACCAAAACATCCAACTTCGAACTTACGAAAGAGATTTCAAAAGGAAGAAAGCGTACCTGCAGAGCCAGAAAAGAAGGAATGTTATATGTTCCAATTCAGAAACAGAGGAAGCTTGGCGAGGGCCCAACCAGCATGGTTGGGTGAAGGCTCTCGGCCCTCAAAAGAAATCAGAACAGGATCATCGCCTACGATTGGAAAATGAGCAATGATAGCCACGTCCATCGGGGTCGGGACGATAGGACCAGAGGGGAGGAGGAATACGCTCATCTGAGAATGCCAAAAGGCCGTCATCGCTAGTAGGGCTTTGTCGTGAAGATGAAGGGGCTGAGTCGAGAGAAGGATGGCTTTGTCAATGCCGTGCCATTTACGGTAGGCATCTTTTGGATCAGTGAGGTGAGTTCTGATACTGTCCAGAAGACGTTCTGGCTTGAACGCAGCATCGTTGACGATTATTGGAGAAACCTGAGAGATGATGGATCTCATACGATCAGCATTTTCGGTGGTGGTGCAGTAAGGGCGTACGGTAGAGGTAAGGACCCTCGAAGCCACGGAAGGCACTTATGGATCAGCCCCATCGAAAGGAAGAACAGGGACGTATTAGTTAGCCATTTGAGAAGGAGTTGCAGAAGACGAAGAAGCAGAGGGTTCTTGGAAGTTGATCGCTGAGGAGAGAAAGGAGAATTTCAGGATTTTGAGGGCGTGAGTATGGCTGGGTCAGAGAAGGGTTTTTCATAAACCCTGCGATGTGACATAACACAGTGTAATGATAGCATTGTGTTACAAACCCCTAAACGTCGCATCTCACGCAGTTCAAGGAGTGACGTTTAGGAGTTGGGCGGGAGGAGGCAAGTTGTTAAGCACAAAAAAAACGATGGGTAGGGTTTTCGAGAATGGGCCTATCAAATTAGGTTAAGGAGTGGTGCAGAGTTTAATGGGCTTATTAATAGTAATAGAATCTTAAAAAGAGAGTCCGAAACGGTGTTAAGGAAAAGGCTTCCTCGGGAGAAAACAGAGATCAGACGTGATAAGGTCGGGCGTTAAGATCAGATGTGCTAAGGTCAGGCACGAAGGTCGGACGTGATAAGGTCGGGCACTAAGGTCGGACGTGATCAGGTCGGGCGTGATAAGGTCGGGTACTGAGGTCGGACGTGATCAGGTCGGGCGTGATAAGGTTGGGTACTGAGGTCGGACGTGATCAGGTTGGGCTCGGAGGTCGGGCGTGATAAGATCGGGCACTGAGGTTGGATGTGATTAAGTCGGGCACGGAGGTCAGACATGATAAGGTCGGACACAGAGATCAGACATGATAAGGTCGGGCGTTAAGATCGGATATGGTAAGTTCGGGCACGAAGGTCGGAGGTGATAAGGTCGGGTACTGAGGTCGGACGTGATCAGGTCGGGTACGGAGGTCGGATGTGATAAGGTCGGGCGTTATATAAGTCGGGCGAAGCGAAGTCAGGCAAGTCAGGAGGTCAAACAAGTGGAAGACGGACAAGAGGAGACGGAGCAGCAGGTGTGCAGGTCGGACGAAAAAGCAGTTTCTGGACAGTTGAAGGAAGTTTCAACCGATGAGCGGATTTGAAGGCACGACTTGGTGGTGGCGGTTGACATGGGTTTTAAATAAGTCTGTTCGTGACCTAAGAAACCATCTTCAATCGACATCAAATTCAAGTGAATTGCTTTTAGGGATCACCACTTTATTTTTTCCGGTCTATAGTATTTTATTTCCCTAGTTTATCTATGTATCCTACCGTGCTTAGGAATTCTTAATATCAGGCATTTAATTTATCAAATTTCGAAGATAATTTTTTTTTTCGAATTTTACTTTTTATTGTTGAAAATTTCCATCAACATATATATATATTTAATATATAATAAAAATTGATTTATTTTTTGGTAAAACAAAAAATTTAATTGAAAAATATATAAAAAATTACTCTTTGTTCCAAAACAATAGTTCTATTTTTTATTTTTTAACTAATTCTCCAATTCTTTTTTACAAAACTATCCCAAACCTTTTTACAATAATTAAATAAAGTAAAGATATTTTGATTTTTTTTAAAAACACTTATACAAGTCACTGTCATTATAATATTAATTCTCACATGAATTTCAAATATCTATATTGTTTTTAAAATAAGAAAGTACAACCATTAATAGAAAAAAATTAATCAATCACTACAAAATGATAAATGTCATAAAGAATTGTCTTAAAACTATAAAATATACTGTATTATTTTAGATTAAATATTTGATTTTGCAGCATATAATAAAAATTGATTCTTTTTGTTTAGTAAAACCAAAAATTCAATTGAAAAATATAAAAAGATACAACAATTAGTAGAAAAAAATTAATCAATAACTAAAAAATGATAAATGTCATAAAAAATTATGTTAAAATTATAAAATATACTTTATTTTTTTAGTATAAATATTTGACTTATTGTAACGATTTTTTGATTTTTTATAATAAATTTTTTGATTTTTTTTACTTTTGTATAAAATATTTTGAGTTTTTTTTATTACTATTACTTGAGAAAAATCACAACTAAAAAATGGTGCCGGAGAACAGATTGTTGTATTTTTTTTTTAATTTGATAATTTATTTTAATAATAATTTAAATATAATATTTTATAATATTTAAATAATATAAAAATATAAAAATGAAATAATAGTACAAAATAATAAAAAAAAATATGCACACATATTAAATATCTGGTTGGAAGAAAAATAAAAGTGGGGAACACCATAATGAAATTGCACACAAATAAAAGGAAAAAATGAAAACAGAAATAAAACAAAAAAATAAAATTGGAGATAAATAGAATTAAATAAATAATAAGAATTAATTCTCTTGTTTAGCAAAAATAAGAAATTCAGTTAAAAAATATAAAAAATAAAAATGCAGTGAATGAGTCAAATAAGAAAAAATGATTAATCTGATAAAAAAAAATTTAACGAATAAAAATTCATGAACAAATATTTTTGGTGATTTTTTAAAATAAATTACAAATTATATACGATTTTTTAAATATTATAGTTTAATACAATTTCTTAAAAAAACGTAAAATTAAATACTTTAGCAATACATTAAATTTAATTTTTGTAAAATTGTAGTGTAAAATAATTTAAAAATTTATAAAAACTAAATGATACAAAAAAAATTAAAAATATATATACTACACCGTCATTTTATCTCTATTTCTCTACGGAGACATGGGAGAGAAATGAAATCGAACAAATTAAAATAATTTATTTTTTATCTTTCATTTCTCTGTACCAAAAATCAGTAAATATTTTAATTTGGTTGTGATTAACACGCTTCGGAGAGTTTGAAAATTCCATCATGCAATTCTAGACAAGTGGTCAAATTTCATTACCTAATCGTCTATTTTTTTATTATAAAGAATCTTGGCATCGACATTTTACTAGTTTCAATGGGCCTACTTCAATCCCAATTTCATTTCTTCCATCCCAAACACACCAAATATGTCGATTTTCTTTACATTTTTTTTCCCCACTAAAATATGCACTTCTATTTACAGCAAATAATACTCCCTCCGTCCACACAATAAGTATACATTTATTTTTGACGCATAATTTAACAAATAATAGTATTTTAACTATAGTGAGTAGGTAAAAATAGTATAATGACATTTTTGCCTTAACTTTTTGGTATAAAAGTAATAATTTGATATAAAATAAAAATATTTGTGGAAAAAAGAGAAAATATTTAATAAAATGATTACTTTGTATTTGTACGTCCCAAAATAGAAATATGTATCATTCGTAGCTGGAGTATATTTATCAAAACTACCATTCAACCCAAATAAACATATATTTAGTGGACTGGCCAAGTATTGCATATAAATTAGTACTAATAGATAATGTTCCATCTTCTCCAACAAAGAAACAAATAAATAAAAAGTACCATCAGAAAAGGTAGGCAAGCAGCCATAACTGCTAACTAACACTGAAAACATATTAGAAAACAAACCTGCATCTTGTGCTGGGAGATGGGAGTCCACCACTGCCATACTTATATATATATATATAATATTTATGCGCCGCCGGATCAGAGTCGAAAATTATGCTGAATAACGTATAAATGATAGGGTTGTTAGAACGCAATAATTTACAATGGATACAGTAAGATTAACAGAACCTTGATTGGTATGTACCTGTCATTAAAGTGCAGCCGCTCATTGAGCAGTTGACGGCTCCGGCTCGGGGTTCTGCAGAATCCCAGCTACAGGTAACCTATAAGTTTGCAGAAGAATAAGGAACATACAAAGCTCAATAAAAGCAACTTCAGATGGTATATCAAAATCCTTATATAATGCGAATCAATGTAATACACTAACACACCAAGAATCCCTGAACAATATAGGAAACCAAATTTAAAGTACATAGTACTCGGTGGAACATTGTAGAAGCTTCTGGAAGCCTTATAACATTCCCGATTAGAATAAAGTACATTTCATCACGGCATGGAAAGTTGGAAACGGAACATATATAAACTATTTAGATAGGCCATGGGTATAGGGTATGGAGCCAAGCTGCCTATGTATGTAAATACACTCTACATACAAATGGAAATACAATGTGCGAGATTCAAAGCAAAATGAATGCAAAATAGTATATCTTCCTATTAGCTTCCGGTTTTAATCATTTCACATAACCCCATTAGAACCAATTTCCATATTTGTAAACCCAAACAAATAGTGTGAATGCATGATATTGATAGAAATATCTAAATCTATAAACACAGACGAAAGGCACACGATAAAAATACTTACGATGACTGAAGTTGAGCTCTCTTCCTTTCCTTCTTCCTTTTGCGCTTTCTTGCCGCAGCTGAGCATGTGGGAGATGCTGGGGCCACAAATTGAATTGGAAGATCCGCTGCTGCAGGGGGCGACAATGGTGTTTCAGTTTTCTTCCTTTTGAACTCATGGATCGGTTGGACATCTGGATTTGGCCCCAATAGACTGGATTCAGAATTTGGTTCAGATGAGATGGATTTCGAATTTGGGGCCAAGTCAGCAGTAGCAGAGCCTTCACTAATGTGAACTTCTTTTCTCTTATTACTAAGTGAACAAGATGCACCACCATCCTCCAGCACATTCACACCATCTGGCATAGTGCCGCAATTGGTATTAATTAAATCCTTGGCATTATTCAACTCATTGTAGAACTTAAATTTGGATCGGACTATCTCAGACATTGTGGTGTTGGATTCCGAATCTGCAACCAGATTTAGTTTGAGATCACCAACTATTTACTTGGGACACTTAAAAAAGGATGCGCTAATAACGACTTTTTCAAGTTCGCAAAACCACCTAAAATGGATAGTACAGCTGTTCGAGCAGCATGCTGCTCGGCTTCTTTCTTAGTATTCCCAGCTTGACCAATGTATGAAACACCATTTAAGCACACCGTTGACACAAATATCGGAACATTCGGCTTTGACTGTTTCGTTGTGTACTCGGGTAGTCCAAGATTCATCTTCACAGCATATTCAACAATGATTGATTTGCAAAATACTGTACTCTGCAAAGTATCCAAAGTATCCAAAGTTTGCAAGATCAAAAAAGTAATCATATTAAAAAAAATGAAAATACCATTAAGCACCCATTTTACCGAAACAAAATAAATTAGAAACAAACAGAACAAAGTGGTTCGTTCTACGCAAAACTTTCCAAATATAAACAACATATATCACAACTAGGATGAACTCATTTCCAGGTGAAGTGCATATCAAAAACCCAGCACAGTGTTGTAACTATATCTAGGGAAACAGCCAATTCTACAGATACAATACTGCAACATTTTCATCGTAATAATGAGCAATAAAGAATAAATGATGATTAAAACAAACTTCAAAGCTTTAAAAATGATTTCCTATAATATGTGCATAAACTGGAAGGCACCAGGCCGAATTTTATGTTGTAAATCTTCGAAAATCTTACATAAATGCAACAACCAGATACTTCTATGCCACGCGAAAATGGAAACATAAATATAAATTTCGAACACTCCAAGTGATATAAATGGCATAGCTTTGTAATAATATAGTGATTTGAAAGAATGTTGGAATCAAGTCTGCAAGTTAATAAAAAAAAATTAAAACCGTAGAAGCAAAATGAACCAAGACCAACCGCAAGTAAACATGAAGATGCTTCATTTTTAACTTTCTCCGGAATGCCTATGAGTGCGAGCCTGGCAGCTTCTTGTTCAGCTGCCTTCCTAGTCGAAAAGGTTTGCTGTGAAGTATAGCAAGTTCCATCAACATAAACCATAGATCTAAACTGAGGAGCATGTGGCGTCCCTTCACCAACAGTCTTATACTGTGGAAATCCCAAAGAGGCTCTCAGTGTATATCTTTGTAGCTGGTTCTTGTACGAGGTATCTTCACAAGAAGTCAGACGATTTCTCAATTACCAATACAGAAGCAGAAGAAGACGTTTGATCAACAAAGAATTCATAGCCACATAGACCGAAATCACTTATATCATGACGAAATCGCATGAGCAATAATTTAAGGTTTCAATTAAAATTAGAAGCTTTTGGTTTCATCAAAACTCTTTAGAAGACAAACAGGAATTCAAACAAAACCCAAGATTAAATCGTCAACAAAGATACGCAGTAAACACAAATCCACAAGTGCATACCCTAGGAATGAACATTTCAACCAAAATAAACTAAAATAAACTAAAATAAATAAAATCAACACGGCAAAACAAAACGACCATAGAGAGGAGCACCCCTCTCCCAGCACATACACAAAATTTACAGAATGAAAAGCGAGAATCACCCGTCGGCGGTGGCTGAGGCGCCGCCATACTTCCTTGTAGGAGATTATCCATATTTCAGTAGACGATTGGGGAGAAGAAGACGCTGCGTGGGTTTGCCCTAGGGCATTTCCTCTTCGACGCAGAAAGAAACTGTCCTCTCTGCTCCTGCTCTTCACAGCATTCAATACAGAACATCCCACCTGATCCTCTCTAAATTACACTGCCATTTAATAAACACATATATTTAGTGGTAAATCACTCATTATTACTAACTTTACATATTTTAATTATAAATATATTAATTATTTTATAAATATTATACTCCCTCAGTCTCCTATCCTATAAATATACTTTTAATTGGATTGGACACCATATTTAAAAAATATTAATATTATATCGATAGTAGTAGGTAAAAAATATGGATAAAATTTTTTTTGCTGTATTAGTGTAAAAAGTAGTGGCAATTGTCTAATAAAAATGAAAAAATAGAGGTAGTTTTACGGTGATATAGTTATTTATGAAAATAAGATTATTCTTCTGAGACGGACAAAAATAACAAACAAAACTATTGTATTAAAACGAATGAATTATTAAATTATTATTTAAATAAAAGTTTAAATGTAATGGAGTAGTTCATTTCAAATGAACTTTAACTCAAAATAAAAAATAAGATAAATTATATAAAACCCCATTGAATGTTAGTAAAAATATACAAAATACAACGGTTTGTTTGTCGAATCTAGTTTGCAGGGTATTAAGTTCGGCTGAAGGTTTACCCGGTGTGTACTTTTGGGTAGCGGCTGCGGGTTCCCACATTATCAAACAAAAAAATACACAAAATATTATGTGTTTTATTTATTGCTTGAAACTTCTTGTGTTAATGTAATTTGCATGAAACACCGTCCTTGTCCAAAACTGATGTTCTGTTCTAAATAAAGACCTAAATTAGATAAATTTTATACAAATAAAAAATGTAAAATATCTTAAATAATTTTTTTTAATAACATAAATAAATAAATAATTAACTAATAAATAATTTTTTTAATAACATAAAAAATACTTCCTCCGTCCACCTTAAAGGTTTATATTTACTTTTTGTCGTGTTGCTCTTTAAATATTAATTATTATATCAAAATATAGTATAAATTAAGTAAACAAGTCAAAAATAATTCTATTAATGTTTTATAATACAAATATAATGATATTTGTATACAAACTTATACAAATACAATGATATTTTTAATGTTAAGTACAATGACGCAAAAGGTAACTATAAACTTTCAAAGTGGATGGAGAGAGTATAAAATATCTTAAATCATTTCAGTGCTTTCGATTTTATTTTTTACTTTTTATTTTTAATTTTAATTTTTTTTAAGGACATACTTTCCAAGTTATTTTTTGTTCTATCTATTTTCTTTTGTTCTAAATTTCAGTGCTTTCGAATTTTTTTTTTTTTTAACTTTTTATTTTTATAAAATTTTGCATGTTGTACATAAAGCAACTCCAGCAAGAATTTCTAGATCATGGAGTTTTTAGAAGAGGAAAATTCCAACAATTGCAAATTGGCTAAGGAATTCATTGAAAAATGGGTGTATTAGCTAACCATTTTTTCCATTTTCTTTTAGATTCAACACTTAATATGTTTAATTTTGAAGAAAAATTGTAAAATATAATTAGTTATCACTTTGTTCATTTATTTATCTTGCTTGCAAAATTCGTCATTTATGTTGTCGCAAGTTTGTGAAATTTACTAAGTTGAATAAGTCTATTATTTTAGATATTTTATTATTTGAATAAGTCAGAGTCGGTTAAGTTGTTGCTAAATTTAAGGAAATAAGTTTGGAGTCACGTTGTTAGTTTCTTATTTTTATTATTCATTTTCTATAAATATCAGTCGTTTTTGTTCTTAGAAGTTAGTTGAGAATATTGTATTTTCCCTTTCATTATTTTATCAGATTTGGTTGAATAAAGGTTTACACCTTTACTTTCGTTGGTTTGCTCTACGTTGGGTTCTTTATTTCATAGTATCAGAGCTAAGTCCAAATTAGCCAAAAATGAACGGTGAAAGTACTTCATCCTCTACTCTTGTAGACAAACTTTACAGCCAATAATTATAATTATTGGAAGTTATGTATGAAGGCTTTTCTTCAAGGACAAGACCTGTGGGATCTTATTTCTGGTGATGAAAAACAAATTCTGATTGACACCCCGCAAAATTTCGAATTTCGAAGGAAATGGAAGATCACATGCGGGAAGGCACTCTTTGCCTTGCGAACATCTATCGGACCAGAATACATAAATCATGTTCGAAATTTGACAACGCCAAGTGAAGTCTAGGACACATTGGAAGGTCTTTTCACCAAGAAGAATACGGCTCGGCTCCAATATCTTGAAAATGAGTTAGCAGTAACTTTTCAAGGTAATTCATCTATTGCAGAATATTTTTTAAAGACCAAGAGTTTGTGTGCTGAAATTTCAGAATTGGAGCCGACAGAAAAATTCAGTGATAATCGGTTGTGTCGATACCTGGTTCGTGGCCTGCGTCAGGATTTTATGCCATTTGTATCTTCCGTACAAGGGTGGCCAACGCAACCTTCAGTCATTGAATTAGAGAACCTGCTCTCAAATCAAGAGGCATTAATGCAACAAATGTCAACCAAGCAGCCCTCCTCACAAATAGATAGTGCTCTCTACTTCAAGGATCGAAAGAAGAAAAGCTTTTTGCGACAACAGAGAACAAAGAAGGAGCAACCGAATGATATATCTAAATCCTGTTACAGATGTGGGAAGACGGGTCACATCAAACGTTTTTGTAGGGCGAAAGTGGCATGTGAACGGTGTGGGAAACAAAAGCATATTAAGTCAAATTGCAGAGTTAAAATGCACAATGCTGAAGTGAATGTTACACTACACATGAGAAAGATGATCCTCAAGAACCAAATTGGGAGAAATGTCTTTCCATTGAAATTGTTGATCAAGAAAGGAGGGAGAATGTTGTCTTGCCCAAGACTGACATAGCAGCATATACAAATTCTCTTATTAATTACAACAAAGAATGGATAATTAATTATGGATGTTCTCACCACTCTACCGGAAATATCAAACTACTTTCTGGTGTTCGTCCACATATTGGAAAGAAGGTTGTCATAACTGCGGATAACTCACTACACACGGTGAAAAATGAAGGAGATTCAAATAATGGAGATATTTGTTTGAAAAACATCTATCACGTTCCTAGTCTGACAAAGAATCTTGCCTCTGTCTCGCAATTAACTGAGTCTGGTCAATATATTCTTTTCGGTCCTAAAAATGTTCAAGTTCTATCAAACATGAGGCAGGTTGATGCTGATGTCTTGTTCACGGGAAAGAGAAAAGACTCTTTATATGTGTTGTCAGCAAGTATAGAGTATGTGAAAAGGACGGGTGAAACAGCAAGCTCGGCATTATAGCATGCTCGTTTGGGCCATGTCGGCTATCAGTTACTTCACAAAATTTCTGTGAAGCATCTTCTAAACGGCATCCCTGTCTTTAGAAATATCCGATATGATGAGATTTGTTTAGGTTGCCTATACGGAAAGTCTCACCGTCACCTATTTTCAAATTCAGAAAATCGAGCATCCAAGCCACTCTAGATGATTCATTATGATATTTTGGGACCAACCAGCGTACCGAGCTTCACGGGGTTTCCCTACATGATAGTGTTTGTAGACGACTTTTCTCGATTTACTTGGGTACATTTCTTAGTCCACAAAAATGAAGCCTTTCCTAAATTTATGCAATTCAAGGGTCCTGCAGAAAAGGAATTGGGAGCTTCTATTAATTGCCTACGCACGGATAATGGTGGAGAATTTTTATCAAATAAATTCTCAAATTATTGCAAGTAGCATGGGATCCAGCGTCAAATCACATGTCCAGACACGCCGCAACAAAACGGAGTTGCTGAACGTAAATTAGCTCATCTTACATATATATGCCTGTGCTGGTTACATGAAAAAGGTCTTGCAAGAGAGCTGTGGGCAGCTGCTTTTCATACGGCATGTCATGTGACAAATCGGTTGCCGCCATGGCCAGGGAACGAACCATCTCCTTTCGAGCTGCTATATCATAGTAAACGAAATGTAAGTAATTTTTAAGTTTTTAGATCTATTTGTTTTGTTCATATACCAAAACAAAAATGAACTAAACTGGATCCAAAGGCTAGACGTTGCACTTTTGTTGGCTATGATACTCAAAGGAAAGGTTGAAGATGCATGGATCCCGACACGAAAAATGTTATCATTTCTCGTGATGTAGTGTTTGATGAATTTTCTTCAAATCAGTATGATTGAGGCCAGAGTAATGACATATTCCCTCCCCATGGAAAGGTTCCTTTGTTTGAAGATGATGTGCGGCTGGATCATTCCGATAACGACGAGTTCTCATCGGAGACAAATGCTCCTTTGGCTGAAGAAGATGTGCAACTGGATGAGATTGTTGATGTTGTCCCACAAATGGGAACAAGACAAAGGAATCCACCAAATTACTTAGCTGACTATCAAGTTGAAGCGAATCAGCTCTCCATTCGCTCGTGCTTGTTCATGGGAGAACATTTTGAAGATGAACCAACATCTTACAATGAAGCCAAGAGGTTCCCAAAATGGGAGGAAGCAATGCACGAAGAGATACTGACACTAAACAAAAATAACACTTGGGAGTTGGTACCCAAGCCAAAGGATGTCTATTTAATCTCTTGCAAGTGGGTCTTTAAAGCTAAGAAGGGAACCGATGGAAAAATTCATAGATATAAAGCTCGCCTCGTAGCTCGTGGGTTTTCACAGAAATATGGGCAAGATTACGATGAGACATTTAGCCCTGTAGCCCAAATGGTAACGGTCAGAGCCATCATCTCCTTAGCTGTTTGCAAGGATTGAAAATTGTAGCAATTAGATGTGAAAAACGCTTTTCTTTACGGAGACTTGGATCGTGACATCTTTATGGAACAACCTCAAGGTTTTGTATCCACAAAATTTCCCGATCACGTTTATCGACTCAAGAAAGCATTATATGGCTTGAAACAAGCCCCGCGTGCATGGTACGGTAAAATTGCTCAATATCTTATCTTTTAATATAAAAATTTGCAATAAAAAATTAGGTCGAAAATAAAAACTATATAAAAAGGAATATTGAATAATACAATGAGTTCAATGTGTTTACAATTTTTTAATATTATATATAATATATTATAAAATTATATATTTACCTCTTAATTAAATCTCCACAATTAAATATTAAATGCAATTAATGTTTAATAATGTCAGCGTTGTTGAATTTTTGTTAATCAGCATGAAATTTGAATCGTTGAATTATTTAGTTTTCAGTGGTAAGTTTATATATTCTTTTTAATTTCGCAAAGTTGATGTATTTATTTTTTAGTTTCTTTCATATCATTATTTTCACCTTTTAATTCTTTTATTTTAATTATTTTTTTCTTCATTTTTTATACATTTGATTTCATATTTGTGAAATTAAACCCGAAAAATTTTTTGAATAGATCATGTAATTACAACTAATGAATTGTCTAATATTGAAGAATTTCAACTATAATAATTTATTTGATTAAAATAAATTTAAATATGTTAAAATTATATATCCATAAAATATATATTTGTATGTAATTAAATAATTAACATAGATTAATTTATAAAAAATAAAAATTTTAAATATATTTATTTATTTAAGAGAAATATAAATGATAGTATAATATGTAGTTTCAGTTTAAAGAAATAATTTTGATTAAAAGTTAAAATATTTGATAAGAATCGAACATAGCCTAAATTTTTTTTATTGATATTATTAATAATTTTTATTTTTATAATACTATATTAGAAATAAATGGTTACTATCATGTTAATTTTTCCAATATATGATACATCACATTGTTAAATAAAAGTATGTATTGTCTTCTTTTTTTTAAATATATATATATATGTATTGTCTATTTTCTTTTTTTTTTTAAATATATATATTGTCTATTTATAAATATAATATTTTTTTATATAAATGTATGCTATGTATTAAAATTAATATGTTGTTTGAGATCATATCAATACGTTTGTACTATATTAATATAGACAACGTATTATCTCTAATAATAAATTGTACTATCAATGTTGTTTTAAATTTTAAAATTTAGGTCCGTATTTAGAAAAATATATATTCTAAATCAATTTTTAAATAAAATAATATATAAAATAACTAGTTTTTAAAAAATAATAAAATTGAAAATTCATAAAGGGCCTTTTTCTTACACTGTAAATTAATACTTGTATTAATATAAAGCAGTTTGTGAGACACATGACTTCGTAAAGGTCAATGAAGCTTTGTCAAATTTCTGTCCACCAACATGTTTGATTTTCTAGTTCATTTTAATATATAATTATATTAAAGAAAATAATTAAGGCTCCACTTGGATTTTTATTTTTTATTTTTCTAATTTTTATTATTAAAAGTATTTTGATAGAGAATTTTTGAATGAATTAATAATCATGTATTAATTAAAGTTAAATAATGATGTAAAAATGAAATATTATATATATATATTATCAAAAAATTATCAAAGTTATTTAATAATTCAACAAAAATATATTTATCATTTTATATAACATAAATAAAAATATAAATTTAATGTCTGATAAATAAATTAAAGAGTATGAAATTATAAATAATCCGTACAAAAATATTAAGAAATTACTTTCTTCATCTCAGTTGCATTATTGTGCCACATCAATTTATATATTTTTATTATAATAAAAATAGTTTATATATCAATTTAAAATATTTTTAAATTTTATATAAATTATAAATATATTATTAAATATAAAATTATTTTATATATACTTATAATTGGTAAATTTGTCAAAAGTTTATATACATTTCAATTATTAGTGAAATGCTCTTATTTTTTTAATATATTATGATAAAAAAATACATATTTTTAGAGAGAGAATATATGGTTTGTTTAACTAATAAAATAATTTTTTTTTTATAGAATTTTTGATATATATAATATTTATTATTTTATTATTGGACCCGAGACTCGAATAAGACTTGACTATACTCGGATCCGATCATACACTTTTTCGCCCCGAAATTATCCGATAAAATCAAATGAACCCGATATAGACATGCAAATTTAAATTTAAATTGGACCCAAATTTGGATTCGGACACCATTTTTTTTGTATTTTATTAAAAAATATAATAAAAAAAATATTAAATAATAAATAAACTAAATTCAAAATTTTTTTAATATAATCCATATTGTTAAAATTATTTTTTTATATATAAATAATTGATTTATCCATTAATATATTAATCAAGTCCGAATCGAATTCGGACAGAGTCTATCCTTGGATCCGAGACCCAATTCGAACCTTATAAGAGTACATAATACCCGATCGATATCCGAATAATTAAACCCAACTCCAAATAAATAGGTCAAATTCGGGTCGGATCTTGGATCTACCGAACCCATTGTTATTCCTATGCACAATTCTCCATATCTAAAAAAAAATTAAAAAATTTAATAGAACTAAAAATATTATACATACAAACTCAATATAAGTTGAAAAATCAAAGTGTATAAAATATTATTCACTTGGAAGATTGATATTCTTTTACTTTGTCAATAATGTTATTTTATCCTCTCTTGGTCCCAGCTAATTTATTTCCTTTAGTTGAGGCACAAAATTTTAGGTATAATGTAATTAACAAGTAATGAAAAAATGTATCAGTAAAAATAATTATAATATAATAAAAATAATTATAAATTAATAATAAATTTACTAAATAGTTTAATTAAAATTTTAAAAAATATAAATTATAAGTTTTAAAATACAATTAAAATGTATAATTATATATCAAAAAAATAACAAATAATGTGAGACAAATAAAATAAAATAAAATAGACAAATTATAGAAGATCGAGAGAGCAATATAAAAAGAAATAAATCCAACTTATTGTTTAAACAATAAAAACAAATGGTAATCCTATAGCCAATATGTATTTTCGGGTAAAAGCTGAAGATTCACGTTATGAAAAAAAAAAAAAAGAAAAAAAAAATGAAAAAGATGGTAAGTAAACACACGAAAATGGCGGTCCAAAACTAACGAAATGTGTTTGTTTGGGGGTTTGAATTTTATGTTGGGATTTGAATAGTAAAATTTTTGAATTTAAATAGTTGTATGATGTGATGTAAATAGGTGTTGATACGATATTTTGAATGTAAAATTGATTTTTAGTATAATATAGAAAATAAAAAATAAATATTTGATCTGATGTTTTTTGAGAAAAAAAATAAAATAAATAGTAAAAATCTAATCCGAGGTACCAAACAACACAACCTTAAATATCTTCCTATATAAAAAAGTCAACTTTGGCTAATTCACAATTGTCTGCGCGCCTCAGCAGATCACTGCTTTATAGTGAATACCAGAAGCAGATCCCGGACCTGAAGTCCTGAACGCATCCGCACAATTGATTTGCAGATTTTACGACGTTGATGTTTTGGGAGTTGAGCACCAGGTCTCCTTCCTGAAACTTTATTCTGATTCCATGCGGATGCTGTTCATACTTTTGGCGTTGCCCCTATAAAAAGCACCGCCAGCCGCCACGGATTCCGCCGCCGCCGCCTCCCGATCGCCGGAAGTCCGCAAGATGGAGACGAATCCAACGCCGCCGCTGATGACCAAAAAGGAAGAAGATGAAGTCGAGAAAGTCTTCCACAAAATCGACGTCGACGGCGACGGCAAGATCTCGGAGACGGAGCTCGGCGCCGTCCTCTGCGGCCTCGGCTCCACGACCACCGCCGACGAGATGGCCGTCGTGATGTCGGATTTGGACGCCGACGGCGACGGTTACATCGATCTGAACGAGTTCAAATCCTTCCGGTGGCTTGGCGGCGGCGACGGCGAGTTGCAGGAGGCGTTTGATCTGTACGATAAGGATAGGGACGGGAAGATCACGGCGGCGGAGCTGCAGTCGGTGCTCCGAGGGCTGGGCGAGGAGAGCTCTGTGGAGGACTGCCGGAGAATGATCGGAGCCTTTGACGTCGACGGCGACGGATGCATCGATTTCGAGGAATTTAGGAAGATGATGATTGGGGATTCTCAGTTGAATTGAAATTGTGCATTTCAGATTAGGGTTTCTACTAACTTATTAGTTTTAATTATTGTCTGTTTCTAAGCCACGATCTATATTGGAAGTTTATTGTGTTTTTGTTTCTAAAATTAGATTTAATAAAAACACAAAACAAAAATGTTACATGTAAATTTATCGATGAATTTATTTTGGTGGCAACGGTTAGGGTGCTGAATTAGAAAAATTAGCACCGTGTTGATGTCTTATTATACACAACACATGCGGTGTATAATAATGACAGATGATGTTATTTCATAATTATAGCGTGCTGTATAACAGTACGTGGTGTATTGAAATAAATTAGTATTTGTATTGTATAAGACTATAGCATGTGCAGTCAGATCATGTGTTGTATCTGTTTTGTTGGTTTATAATACAAGTGTGCTGTATAACAGTATGTGTGGTGCTGAAATCAAATATTGATTGTGCTATATAAAACTATAGCATATGTTGTTAGTTCATGTGCTGTATTTGTATTATATGAATGCATACTGTGCTGCCGGTAGTAACACCGTGTGCTGTGGTGTATTGTCAGCACAGTGCTGAATTTTAAAATTGTAGCCGCCGCCTATTTTGGCACATGTTAGAGAATACTCCATCCGTCGTGCAAATGTGTGCTCATTTGAACGGACACAGATTTTAATAAAATTGGGTAATAATGGTTAATTTTTCATTTTATAGTAAAAAAAAGTACAAAAATATAATAATTTTTTACTTAAAAAGAAAACGAGAATATTTTTCAATGACAACCCAAAAAGGAAAGTGAACATAGATTTAAATGACGGGAGGAGTATATCATTTTGATGTATACAAGAACATGAAGCTGATGTATACAACCTTGTACATGCTGATATTTACAAGGTCAAAGAAGTCAATTCGAAGAAAAATAAGATATCAAGATAAAGCTATTTGATGGTAAGATTAGAACCAAATTCATAGTTACAAAGGAAGTTCAGATGAAGTTATAACTTCCTCTTAAGCACTACTACAAACAAAAAAATGTATTATTGTTGCAGAAATATTTATAGCGGGATATATATATATATATATTTTTTTTCGTGTCAAATTTAATAAATTATTGTGAAAATATTGTGGAATTAATTATGCACTAGATTTGTATCAATAAATTATAAATTATAATTGATATATTGAAAAAAGTATATATTGTTATGTATTTTTGTAGGAAAATTATAAATTATAATTAATATATTGGATAAAGTTTTTATTGATTTTGATATAGTCATGATTAGTGGCAGGATAGAGGTTCATGGAATGATGTGCGACTTTGCCAAATTTTCGAGTCTAAAATTGAGTGAAGTTTGAGCATCAAGATGGAAAGCAGCAATCAAGGAGCTAATTAAGAGCTTGCGTGTCTATGAAAAAGGGGGTTAAGAAATTGGAGGGGGAGACACAACTTATACTCATATTTCGTAGTATAAGTTGGAGGATTGTGAAGGACGGATTGAGAGGAAGCACCACCGGATAATCATTACTTTTATCGCTTTTTATTTATTTCTAAGCTATGAGTAGCTAATTTTTTTTTAATTTTTATTTTAATCAAGGTTGAATTTAGATTTCAAAAAAGTATTTTTTGGCATCGTAGGCAGCGACATTGCATAAGAAAATTTGTGGAATCAAGCAACAACAATGAGAGACATTACATGAATATCTGGAGAGGTTCAAAAGCTTTTGTGCGCGGTGCCCATAACGCTAGTTACTGACCAACGGCTGCTCCAATATTTTTATGAAGGATTGAGCATGCGAGACCGGAACAATATTGATGCCGTTAGCCGGAGCATTGACAAATAAAATACCAAAAGCCGCATGGGAGTTGATCGCGAGGATGAGAGAGAACTTGCAACTATTCAGAACTAGAGGAGTCGAATATTCGGAAAACAACGATTCTCTTCGGTAATAAATTTTTGAACTTACAAAAGTTGTTCATCAATTGGCTGCAGAAAACACACGCCATGTGAAAGCATGTGGCATTTGTACGAGCCCGGAGCATGCCACCGATGCACGCCCTGCCTTGCACGATGAAAGTAATGCCGATGTGAATGTTTGGTCCAACGAGGCAACTGCAATATGATCCTTATTCAATCACCTATAACCCGGGGTTGAAGGCTTATCCGAATCTCAGTTATAGGAACCTGTAACATCAAGGGTTACGATCGCAAGCACCTCCGAAAAAATTCTTCCAGCCACCACCACTACCACCTCCACCTCCACCAAACCAATCTATCATAGCGCTAGAGGAAATGATAAAGACCATGACTGTCAACATAATCAAATTCCAACAAGATACGAGGGCGAACATTCAAAATCTTGAATCTTGCGTGGAGCAAATATCATCAGATCTTTCGCCATAAAAGACAGTGCCAAAGGGAGACGGAGAAATTGTCATCACAACCGGAAAAGAACCCAACGAATGTTAGCACTATGACTTTACGAACTGAAAAGACGGTGGGAGCTCCAGAACCAATCATCTACTACCAGAAACTTTGGATTTTGTATCGGAAATAGCTTCGGAAATTTAAACTAAATCCGAGGCTCTTTTTAATTAGCTTTAGAGTTTGTTTCGAATTGGTACCCAAAGCTAAAAACTCATTGTTTTTTTGAAATTTTAGAAAATTTCGAAGCTATTCTGATTAGTCAGTATCATAAAAAAAAAATTACTCCCTTCGTTTCATTCCGAAGGGGTCATTTTCTTTTCTGTAGTTGATTAACAAATAATAATATTTTATTAGTTAGTGGAAATATGCAAGATAATTTGATATCTTTGCCGTTATAAAGTACAAATAAAGTAATAATATTTCGCTAATTCATGTAAATGTAAGTGTCTTTTGGTATTTGTATATAAAATATTTTTACTATATTAGTGAATTGTTACTTTGTGATATAAACGAAAATGATAAAAATAGTATTTTGAATTGAGACAAAGGAAATATTATTTTCTTTCATAAAATCTCACATTACAATACTTCTTGTCTCACCACAAATGACTCATTTTCTTTTTTTTGTCCGTCACATAACATATGCCTCATTTCTATTTTAGTAAATTATTCATCTTAACATATTTAACAATATAAATTAATTTAATTAAATTTTTAATTTCTTACACGTACGGATCCATTCAAATTTTTTTTTTTATTTCTATATCTCTCGTTAATAAACAAATATATTTATCTATATTTAAAAATCCCTATATTTTTATAAAATTAATTTAAATTAATTATTAAATTTTATTATATAATTCTTTTATTATCTAAAAAATAATATTTATATTGTATACATATTTTATTGAGATATAATGTTAAAAATATTTGAACATATATTATATTTTTCTAATCATATATATTAATTAATTCATATATATTTTTTTAATAAGAACCATACTAATTATATAAAAAATAATAAAATTATATGATAATTTATTATTAATAATTTACTAGTCTATACTATCTAAATAACCGTATCTTTAACAAAAAAGGTCATCTTACTCGGGACAGAGACAATATTATTTGAATAAATCACAAAAAAAATAAAATCTAAACTCAAATAAAAACCAAATACATTTTAGCTTTTTTTAATTATAAATTTCATGTGACAGTTCTTCATAATTAAAAAGTCTTGTTTCGTTATTAATTTTGGCTTTTTTTTTTGAAAAAAATTAAAATAAATTGTTTTCACTAATTATTTACGTTAAATTATTTTTTTCAAAACTTAAAATAAATTGTTTTCACTAATTATTTACGTTAAATTATTTTTTTCAAAACATTATTTATATTTAGTTTTATTTAAAATATTACATAAAAAAATTTTTATATACAAAATATTATAATGAATAAATATTTATATCACATCATATATTTATTATTCTATATCCGTTCCATTTTATTCGTTTACAATTTTTATTTTCGTCGGTCTCACTTTATTTGTCCTTTTCTTTTTTTAAAAAAAAATATTATACATTGTAATTATAATCACATTTTAAATTTATAATCAATAATTTTTCAATCTTAATTAAATTAATTAATTATTTTACTTTCAATCTATAATTATTTATATTATATAATAATTATATTTACGAGGAAATATAATTTATAATTTTCTAAAATAGACCAAAACACCAAATTAACATGACTAAACAAACTCACTCTTAGGGTGTATTTGTTTTGGTTTTTGGTTTAGAAGGATATATATATATATATATTTATGTAAATTATAAAAAATTGTATAATAAGTGTAATTTGATAATTTCTTTGAAAATATATGTTAAAAATTTTTGCATAAAGAACCCACCGTTAGTATCTTTGGTTTTAATAGTTATTTAAAAGTTTGTTAAGGTAAACTTATGGTTTTATATATATTTAAAATATTTAGATTTTTATAAAATTAGTTTTTGCCAAACATATAATTATACTACCTCATTCCGGATTGAAAAAAAAAAAAACAACTATGCAGTTTCAAACCTACGATTCAGGTGCACCTGTCACACATGGTTCGCCATGCAAATAATAAAAAATGAGTAATATTTTTTTATAGTTTTTTTTTTTCTTTTTACAAAATGATCATAAAATGATCTCACTTTAAATAATAAAATTGAACTTCCAACAATAGAATAAAACAAAAATTAAAAGGGTCTTAACTAATTAATTAATTATTTTTTTTCCACCAAAAGTGTATTAACTTTATTTGCAATTTAGAAAAGAATTGAGTATATTTTTTTTTGGACAGGGTTGGAATTAAATTTTCATACACATTCAAATTTATGGACGCATTTACTTTATGGATATTCTTGTCAATCACTTTTTATCTTTTCCTTTCCTTATCTTGTTCTCTTTATAATATTATCCAACTTTTAGTAAATATTCATTTGAATATCGGTTGCTTTGGAATAATAATAATAATAATAATAATAATAATAATAATAATAATAATAATAATAATAATAATAATAATAATAAATTCTTAGTATATTTATTAACCTCTATTTTTTTTTTATAAATTTTAATCATACAATATACTAAACAAACAAATCAAATATTTATAATTTTTAAAAAAATAGTAAAAA